CAATTGCTTGCCAGACATGTCTCGCTTAGACATGGATAGTTCGGTAATTTGCTTTAGATAGGCTTTACTTTTGCAGAGAATGGCCGCTCGTTTCGTTGTAATTTGTAAATAAGTTGACTTGTTCAGCGACCTTGGCTTTCTGTTTGACTGTAGGACGATTAAATAATGTAGATTATGGCTGCCCACATAGGCCTATTTAGGGATATTTTATGAGCATTAAATGGCCTTTTGTGATTGATTTTACAGTTATAGTTTATTTAATTGATTTGTTCGGATTTCATTGACGAATGATTTCATGTTCAACTTATGATAATTTAAGCCTGGAATAGCAGACAAATTCGGTATGTTATAATTTGTAACTCTTTCTGATTTGAAGACTGCAAGTTATTCAATAGTAATTTGGTTCGACTTAATAATTAACTATGTTTGATAATTATGTTCATAAATTTGAGTAGGCTTTCTAAAGGCCGAATTGTGTATGATTATTTATTTATTGCAAGTATTTTGTATTGATTTGTTTTTACGTTTGTATTAAGATAACCGTGTCAACTGTATACTTCGAGTTGTGTGATTTTCTGGATTGAGGATACAAACTTGGGGCTTGAAAGACCGCGTTATTGAACTGTTAATAAATATCTAGTGTGCAGTCGGTGTCGTCCAGGTCACAAAGAACGGCTGTTACATTAAAGTTATCGAATTTCCGCAAATGAAGTTATCAAATTTATGCAAATAAAGTCATCTGATTTGCATAACAAAAGTATCGTCGAATGCCGGCAGGAGTTCGGTAAATCGTCAAAATTGAAGAAATCATCCTAGTGTTGAACATTTAAACTTTTGTGTTGCATGTTTGATGAGCACTGTAATTGTACATTATGGATGCGCAATCTGTTTCGAAATCAAATTTAGAAGAGTTACGTGCTCGTATGAAGGAATTATATCAAGATGCTGAGAGACTTATGAGACTACAAAAATCGAGATTTGTTGAAATTGAAAAGTGCTGACATTGACAAACGGTTCACCGAGTATTCAAATGCTCATGAAATTCATGTGAGTACTTTACGTTCTGAAGAAGATCGAAGAAATGTCAGTGAATTTTTCCAGTGTGAACTACGCGAGTTTCAAGAATTTAATGTGCACTTACGTGATTGGTTCAAAAAGAGTGACGCTGATGGTCATAAATCATCGACACATAGCCCTGAAGCACGTTCTGTAATTTCTGGAAAAAGTTCCCGTCGTTCGTGTGCCAGTTCAAGTTCGAGTACTAAACGTACAGAAGCCATTGCCATTAGAGAACTTGCTCATGCTAGTATTTGGCAGCAAGTAGAAAAGGATGCCGCAAAAAAGCGAGAAATTGATGCGAAAATGGCAGCAGAGAAAATGAAATTAGATGCCCAAATTGAAGCTGAAAGGCTGGAACGTGAGCTACAAAAATGCTAAAAGGCTGGAACGCGAAGCTATGGAAAATGCTAGAAAGCAAGAGCAGGAAGCCAGAATGAAGGCTGAAAAGCTTAAACGTGACGCTGAAATAAGAGCTAGACAAATTGAAGAAGATGCTCAAAGTGGAACAAAGCGTTTGGAATTGCAGCATGCATATGAATCAGCCTGTATAGCAGCCGATGTATGGGAAAATGCTTCGCAGGGAGACGAAGGTATGTCATTATATGAAAATATGTCTCGTTCACATTCACCTAATCAAAACCAAGAAGTACCAGTGAATGAAATAGGAGTGCCGATATTAAAGCCTCCTGATGTGAGACCTAAATTGCCAGCATTAGATTTGTTATCACAATCTCGAGTCAGAATGGAAAATCCTGTACTAAATGTTAGAAAGACCTGCTTCTACTGATAATGTGCGAGATGCTGTGAATGTGAATATTCCTGATCAGTATGAATCAGTGAACCGACCTCCGTACACAGAAGTGACAGAACCACACATCCCACAACAAAGAAACACGCATGATCAATCGGCACCAAATGTGGAAAGTTTATTGGGCAATATGGCATCTATGTTGCAAGACGGAATTGATAGACCTCGACCTGAATTATTGCATTTTAGTGGAATAGAGACTGAATATGTCCGGTTTATCACTAACTTCAACTTAAATATTGATAGAAGAGTACATGATACAAGTACAAAGTTGTCATATTTGGTACAATACTGCGAAGGTGATGCGAGGGAACTGATTATGCACTGTACAATGTTGCCACCCGACGAAGGTTATAAAGAGGCATGCGATTTGCTCAGAAAGACATACGGTCGACCAATGCTTGTGGCTAGAAAATATTCGGAAAAGTTGACTAAAGGACCATGGTTGAAACCTGGAGATAACGAAGGTTTGTTACGTCTTTCTCAAACGTTAGAAGAATGTTTAGTCACTTTGACACATTTGAAATAATTTGGGGATTTAGATAATTTTGATACTATTTTGTCCATCGTATTACGACTTCCTCTCAAGTTGCAGAACAACTGGGAAGAATCAGTGGCAGAATTAGATGGACAAGATAGAGAAGTGAGATTTAAAGATCTTGTTCGATTTATGAAGAAAAAGGCTGCGGCTGCAAATACGCCTTATGGAAAAGCCTTGAGAGCTCGAAGAGAGCAAGAACAGCAATATCGTTTACGATTTCAATCATCGAATAGGCGAAAGATTCACGCTCATTCAACTGCTGTGAATTCAGCTGTTGACAGCAGTGTTACCAGTGCAAAACATATTGAAAAGGGAAGAGATGTCTGTCCTGACTGTTTAAAGACGTCACACAAACTTGTTGACTGTTACAAATTCCTGCAGAAGTCACACGGTGACCGCTTGAAGATTGTTAGAAAGGCAAGATTGTGCGATAATTGTTTTGTATATGGTCATATGTCGAGAAATTGTCGTAAACCACCTGCTTGTACTGTTGACGGGTGTAGGTTGAAACATAATACTTTATTGCATAGAAGAGAACAAGAGACATGTACCCAGACAGAAAATGCTGCTGGTATAAATGAGCAAAAAATTGAAGCATATGCGACTTCAAAAAGCTCAGCAGGATGTTTTTGAATATTGTCCCTGTCAAGATCTGCGCCAACAGGAGAGGAAATAGAAACATATGCATTTTCTAGATGAAGGTTCTACTGCCTGCTTGTGTGATAAGCGACTTCTTGATCTATTGAAGTTGAGGGCAAGAAACGCAGTTTTTCGTTGACAACTGTGAATGCGGTACCAACATCACAAGATGGTTATGCGGTGGATTTACTGTAAAATCACTTGATGGTAGAGAAAGTGTGATTTATCTCATGGTGCTAACTGTTTGATAGACTGCCTGTTAAAGCTAATGAAGCACAATTTGATGTACAAAGTTATGCACATTTGGAAGGGATTTGAAGATTCCTACTCTGCCGTGTAAAGACGTGATGTTGATGATTGGGGTAAATTATCAGTTACATTGCCATGGAAGCCAGGATGTCTGATTTGCCAGACAATCGAAGTGTTGCGATGAAACGCTTAAAGTACATTGAACGAAAATTGAAGAGTGACCGGTTTTGAAAAAAGAAGTACTGTGTGATACTATGGAGAAATATATTAGTCTTGGATTTGCGAACGTATCCCGAAATGAATATAAAGTTGGCCGTAAAGGTGCAGTTTGGTACTTGCCTCATCACTCTGTGTTTTCTGAACAAAAGCCAGGCAAGGTACGCGTTGTTTTTGACGCTGCATCACGTTGTATGAATACTTCTTGAATGACCACTATTTGAGAGGCCCGGATACGGCAAATTCTCTACTTGGAACACTTCTCCGCTTTTAGACAACACGAAATAGGCTATTGTGGCTGACATCGAAGCAATGTTCCATCAGGTGAAAGTGCACCCAAAGGATTGGAATGTTATTGCGATTTATGTGGTGGCCTGGAGGTGATTTGTCACAGGATCCATCAGAATATTTTATGGTCAGGCACATATTTGGTAGCGTCTCATCTCCATTTTGCGCTAATTGGAGTTTGAAGAAGACGGCTCAAGATCACCAAGATGAATTTGACGAAAAAGTTGTCAAAGGAGTTGAGCGAAATTTTTTTGTTGATGATTACCTGAATGGCTCATCTACTGTAAACCAGGGAATTCATATTGTTCGAAGAAACGAATAAAATTGCTGGAGAAAAAAGGATTTCATCTAGCAAAGTGGAAAAGTTTCCAATCCTGAAGTTCTGTCGGAGATTCCTGCTAAAGACAGAGCAGGACTCTGCGTCAAGTGTAAATTAGAACCTGAAAAGATCGATCGAGTACTCGGAATAAAGTGGAATATCCAAGAAGATTGTTTGGATTTGATGTTAATGTGAAATCAAAACCCGCAACAAAAACGAGGGATTTGTCTGTACTCAGTTCGATATTTGACCCGATGGGAATAGTGGCACCTGTAATACTTAAAGCGAGGATTTTGATGCAGCAATTATGTCGAAATAATTTATGGATGGGAGATGAAATATTGAATAGTGAAAATTTATTGTGGAACAGATGGCTCGAAGATATTCTGGACTTGAGAATATATTCATGCAAAGATGTTTTTGCGCCTTCTGGTTTGGCAATATTGTGACTCGTCAAATACACCATTTGCAGATGGCTCTGCAGTTGCCTATGGAACTGTATGCATATTTGCGACTAATTCAAGAAGATTGGAAGATTCATGTTGCGTTTCTTTTAGGAAAAAGCTCGACTTGCACCCATTAAAACTGTTTCAATACACGACTGGAGTTTGACTGCTGCCGCTCTTGCAGTCAAATTAGATTTATTCCTGAGACGTGAATTGGACTTCGAAAAATAGAGTCGATGTTTTGGACAGACTCAACTTCCGTGCTTTTGAGTATTAATAATACATCACGAAGATTTCCAACATTTGTGGCAATCGACTTTGCAAAGATTTGAAGAGGGATCGAATGCTTTACAGTGGAGATATGTACCTACAGCATTTGAATCCCGCAGATGATGCATCCAGAGGGTTGTCGTACAATCGTTGCATGAATGAACGATGGCTGAAGGGACCATCATTTCTCCAAGAGCAGAGGAACATTGGCCTAAACCGCCAGTACAGTTACCTGAGCTTCCTGATGAATTTGTAAGATGCAAGCCACGAGTTGTTGCGAATTATGTTTCTGAGTTTGCTTTGAAGCCAATGGATAAATTCATTTCATATTTCTCAACATGGTATAAATTGAAAAAGGCAAGTGCATGGATGATTCGATTCAAAGAATACCTTCATAAGAAGAAGAAGAAATATAAGTGCAATGAGAAACTTGAAGTTGAAGAATTGCGAGTTGCTGGAGACGACATTTTGAAATACATACAGAGACAAGAATTTGGCGAAGTTATTGATGCATTGCAGAAAGCCAATCATAGAAGTACATCTGGGAAACAAGTACTGAAGAGATTGAAGATTGCAAATTTCTGCATAAACTCAATCCGATTATGAAAGATGGCTTCATCAGAGTTGGTGGGAGATTGAGAAATGCACCGGTTGATTTCGATGTTAAACATCCGATTATACTTCCACAAAACATCATGTAACTGAGATGATTATAAGAGAACATCATGTATCTACACATCATTCTGGTATGGGGAGTACATGGACTTCTCTGAGACAACGATTTTGGATCGTTAAAGGAGGCGCTATGGTGAAATCTGTTATCAGAAAATGCATGTTTTGTCGAAGAAGAAGTTCACCTGTGAGTAAACAGATTATGGCAGATCTTCCGAAGAAAGAGTCACACCAGGTGAAAGACCATTTTCCTATGTTGGAGTGGACTACTTCGGACATTTTCTTGTAAAGCAAGGACGAAGTACTGTCAAGAGGTGGGGCTGTATATTTACATGCATGACAACTCGTGCCGTACACTTGGAAGTTGCATACTCGATGGATGCAGATTCATTCATAAATGCGTTAAGAAGATTTATTGCACGTAGAAGTAGACCATTCAAGTTCATCTGTGACAACGGTAGTAACTTCGTTGCAGCAAATAAAATCCTACGTAAAGAAATAGAAGTTTGGAATTCAAGCAAAGTTGGACAATTTTTGCGTCAGGAGAATATTAAATTTCATTCAATCCACCTACTGCTTCTAATTTTGGAGGATGTTACGAAAGATTAATTCGATCAGTTCGAAAGATTTTGGTTGCTCTCTTACACGATCAGTTGGTGTCAGATGAAGCTTTGGCTACTATTTTTTGTGAAGTGGAATCACAGTTGAATTCCAGACCCATCACTCCAATAAGTTTCGATCCGAAAGATGATGAGCCACTCACTCCAAATCACTTGCTGTTACTGAATCCTACAAGTAATTTACCTCCTGGCATATTCGACAAAAAGGACTGTTACACTCGACGAAGATGGCGACAAATTCAGTATTTAGCTGATCAGTTTTGGATCAGATGGACCAAAGAATACTTACCCACACTTCAGACACGACAGAAATGGACCTCTAAAGAACGTAATATGGAAGTTGGTGATATTGTGCTACTTGTAGACAATACTATACCCAGAGGGAAGTGGCAGACTGGACGTGTTATGGAAACTACACCTGATAAACTTGGAGCTGTGCGTCAAGTTACTGTGAAGACATCCAGGGGTTTATTGAGAAGGCCAATTGCAAAGTTGTGCTTGATTCATAGAGTTAATGAGTAAAATGTTTTCAAGTGTGTGATATCCTCGATGTAAGAAATTTGTGAGTAAGATGTTTTCACTGGGTTCCAACATCTGGCTGGGGGAATGTTACATCGAGAATCGCATTCACTTGATTTTTGTATTGACTTAAACATTGCGTCTGTTTAACTTGTGTAGTAATTTATTTGTTATTGTTGACGCCGTAATTTCCCTTGATTGACAGTGTGCTTCACACACTTTGTTACGAAACAATTGAGAGAGTCTTCGTGGCAATTGCTTGCCCAGACATGTCTCGCTTAGACATGGATAGTTTCGGTAATTTGCTTTAGATAGCGCTTTACTTTTGCAGAGAATGGCGCTCGTTTCGTTGTAATTTGTAAATAAGTTAAACTTGTTCAGCGACCTTGGCTTTCTGTTTTGACTGTAGGACGATTAAATAATGTAGATTATGGCTGCCCACATAGGCCTATTTAGGGATATTTTATGAGCATTAAATGGCCTTTTGTGATTGATTTTACAGTTATAGTTTATTTAATTGATTTGTTCGGATTTCATTGACGAATGATTTCATGTTCAACTTATGATAATTTAAGCCTGGAATAGCAGACAAATTCGGTATGTTATAATTTGTAACTCTTTCTGATTTGAAGACTGCAAGTTATTCAATAGTAATTTGGTTCGACTTAATAATTAACTATGTTTGATAATTATGTTCATAAATTTGAGTAGGCTTTCTAAAGGCCGAATTGTGTATGATTGTTTATTTATTGCAAGTATTTTGTATTGATTTGTTTTTACGTTTGTATTAAGATAACCGTGTCAACTGTATACTTCGAGTTGTGTGATTTTCTGGATTGAGGATACAAACTTGGGGCTTGAAAGACCGCGTTATTGAACTGTTAGTAAATATCTAGTGTGCAGTCGGTGTCGTCCAGGTCACAAAGAACGGCTGTTACACAAACCTCTCGAGACGACCTCTAAAGCTGAAGATGTATTCAAACTTGTTGCTGAATTTTTTGAAAATAATGAATTGAAATGGGATAAACTTGTAGGTGTCTGCACTGACGGTGCGCCGGCTATGATAGGATCTCGTAGTGGATTTATTGCCAGAATAAAACAAAAAAATTCCGACGTTATTGGATCGCACTGTGTCATCCATCGAGAGGCTTTGGCTTCTAAGACTCTCTCTACTTCGATGAAAGATAAGCTTGCGATAATAATACGAACCGTCAACTACATTAAAACTAGTGCCGTCAATACACGAATGTTTGCCAAATTCTGTAAAGATATGGATTGTAATTACGAGAATCTGCTTTTCCATACAAATGTTCGGTGGCTATCGAAAGGAAACATGTTAGCACGTGTGTATGAGATGAGGAATGAGCTTACGCTATTTCTGGAAGCTCAGGAAAAATACGATCTTCTCCTTTATTTCAAATCAGATGAATTTGTGCTGGTCATGGCCTACCTTGTGGACATTTTTGAATCTCTGAATAAATTAAATCTACTATTACAAGGCAGAGAAACTAATCGAATAACTGACTACGGTTTCATTCGTGCTTACATAGCGAAGCTTGAATTATGGTATCGCCGAGCTCAACAAGGAAACGCGGCCTCATTCCCCAATCTCGATACTGCTCTTGACGAAAAACAAATCAAGCTTGATGGTGATTTCAAGAGCGATATTGTGTCCCACCTACGTCTTTTAAAAGAAGAATTTGAACGCTATTTTCCAGATTTGAATGACACAGAACTTCCAGAATGGAAACTTACAAGAGATCCATTTCGTGTCGATGAAGACATTCTTCCAAGCAACTTGCAAGAAGAATTTTTGGATATGAAATTTGATTCATCTGCAAAAGACGACTTTGAAGCCATGCCGCTAACCGACTTCTGGGCAAAATATGTACGCATATATAAGAGAGTAGGTAGCGTAGCAATACGCACTCTGCTTCCGTTTTCATCTACCTACCTTTGTGAAAGCGGGTTTTCTACTCTGGTGAATATAAAGACAAAACAACGGAATAAACTTCAATGTGAATCAGATATGAGATGTGCGTTATCTGCTACAGTTCCTCGAATTAATTACTTGTTTCGCAAAAACAGACTCACCCCTCTCATTGACGTTATTTGTGAATAAAATCTTGTTTCGTTGAATGCATGTTTGTGCCTCAATTTAGGGGGGGGGGGGGGGGCGCGAAATCTGTACGATTTTTCAAAGGGGGGCGCGGCTCAAAAAGTTTAAGAACCACTGTTCTAGGAAGACAGAGTGATCTGTGAATTACTTGATTTATATTTAAATGTCTAAAACACAACTGAAATCTAACGAATAGAATTTAAAAATACGAAAACGAGACATTGTTTACGACCAGACTTGAAAATCTGTCTGAGTGAGAAAAGTGTCTGAGCGGATGCGTTGTACCGTCACTTTTTGCATCTTGCTGATTGGCCAATGTCACGAAGTAAACAAGGAAGTCGATGCTTGGGGGAAGCATCCATAGGAAGAATTTTTCGGGGGTCAAAGTTCGGGGAAAGGTCCATTATCCACTAACAACAACGAAACCCACAAAATCACGCATACACCGTCAGTCTTTAGTGTGTCATACATAGCAACAACAGAGAAGAGAACATTGCTCATCGGTAATGTTCGTGTATTACGCTGGCCGAACGCCAAAAAGCGGTACTGTTGGATGACTTGTCCCGCCGGGACAAGACGTTGAAAAGCGGGACTGTCCCTCTTAAAGCGGGACGTATGCCAAGCCTAACCATAATGGTCTTTGATAGTCGGATTAGTGGTAAAAATATTGGTCCACGCGCATCGCTTGCTAGCAAACTGTTCCTGCTCAAAAGCAGCAATTTGTTGTGGACTCCTACTGCCTGCTAACACCTACAATTAGGGATGGGCATTTCGAATCGAATATTTGAATCGAATAGTATATTATTCGAATCGGTTCAGAGCGAAATTTTGAATCGCCGCCATCTTGTTTTTTCTTTTCTGCCAATGGTCCGAGGTATTTTTTTTCAACAAAATTCTGACATATGACTCTTTTCCGTAGTGAGATATTGATGAAAAACGTGCTTTTTATCGTGTGTGAATGCTCAGCAATCTTTCTGAGTGATGTATTATACGTTTCCAGTAATTTATGTGTCTGGGGAAACCAATACAATAAGAAAGTTACATACAAATATATATCTCCCAAGTACTCGAGATTCGATTCGAAAAAAATATTCCATTCGATTCTGAAATCATCAGGTATTCGAAAATGCTCAGCCCTACCTATAATCCAATGCGCTCTTCTCGGTTGCCAGGTAACGAATTTCCATGTTGCGCCAATTAGCGGATGTGTTTTGATTTGTTACGCATGAATGCATATCCTCAATATCTTGCGCCCACTGACGGATGTAAAAATGATGAACATTGTGCACGTTGCAGCAGATGTAAACAAACATTCTTCGCTGAAAAGTCGCTCAGACAACTTTAGACGCGTTCCGCACAGGTTGCTGGCGTTTTAGGGCAGATCTTTGTCCCCTTTTTTCGCTTTTTGTTTTCTTCACAAGGGCTGCGAGAATTAGAAAGCTGTTATACTGTATGTTACTTGTTGTAAATCACGTTCACGAAATCTATATATCTATACTAAAAGGCTGTACCCCGTTTGCAGGCACCTTACAGGTACTGTACAGGTAGGATTTAGGATAGGATTTACATATTTATCCCGGGGGAGAGGAAAGTCGATAAGACGGCTTATCAATATGGCGAACCACGGTCTCTTGTCCGGTTACCATTCCAAGTCGGGTATGGGATTAGTTTAGGGTTACCATATTTGAAAAAGCAAAATTCCGGACAGTGCCATGACTATGTCGCACAACCCTTAGTCCTAACCGGTACACAAAACTATGTTCAGGTTGTGCGCCATCTTGGTGCACATACTTCTTTCAGGAGGTCCCTATTTTCATGAGGCCATATATATGCGCTACCCGAAATGCTAAGGCCGTACGATACTCATGCTAACGTTGTACGATACTCATGCTAAAGCGCCAGCTACCGAAATGAAAAGTATTGTCTTCAGTTACAAGCAGAATCTCACACCAGGCAGGTAGGCACACTCTAAATATAGCTACGGGCCGTCGACTGAAAAAATCTCAATTTCAGAGTGGAAAATAAGAATGAGAATTAGATTGTGCCAAAACGGAAGAACAGCAATTACATGCTTAAAACGAATTAAAGACAATCACTACAACGGCGGTTACGCGAACCACCCAACGACGGCGAGGAGTCTAGCAATCCTCTCGCACATAACCATTTCTGCATAGGATTCGAACCCACGCAGAGTAATTAGAGGTGCGGTGGCGAGCGTATTCCTAACGCTTAGCCCGTTCAGCCACACCGCCGCGCCAACCAACTGCTATTCCGAACCAAAAATAGTAGACATGCTGATGCAATCAAGGGTACCGGTATCTTTTTGGTAGACTAAATATGTGTAAACGCTGCGGATACCGCCTACCGGTATGGTATTTGCCGGTCTGACAACCTGTACGGTACCCCACCGTTTAATGAAGTAGGATTTGTGACTTTTCCGAAGCCACATATTGACCGCCAAAAAAGCAATAAGGTGGATAAAGGAATGCAACAGGCCTCACAGTCAATTCAATCTAAGAAAAAATCACCAGAAATACTTATGTGTGTACCGAGGCAGGCCAACATAAATATTGTTTTCGATACCTACGATATATTCATTTTGTTAATTCTCATATTAAATAAATTTTCATACAAGCAATGCGTTTCCATCATGCATTTTCATGAAGGCGATGCTGATTAATACCCTGACCCTATATCACATTCTTGTCGCCCAACAAAAAAGCACCATCAAACTGTGTGTAAGGATACTATGCCATAATTTAACTTTGAATCTTAATTTAACAGGATCTGTCACCAGATACTTCATTTGATACAGAGACATGCGAAGTGAGAAAAGGATTATCAGGGATCCAACCAGATCTGCTCCTAGACTCTTTAGTTGAAACTACCTCAAGTGCTTCTGATGAAAATGACAGCGCTTTGTCAGACAGCAGAAAAATGTAAGCAAGCATTATCATCATTTTATTATGGTTCTCTGGCATAAAACAACACAAAAAGTCAACATACAAACAAAATGCAGAGAAAACTGGAAGTCGAGCATAACTAAAAATAGATTTCAAAAAGTACGCGGCTACCTACTAGAAAAAGAAATATTAATAATAAAAGGGCACGAGAAAATTAACAAGATTTAGAATCGGGCAACACTTTTTACGTACCGGTAAATTCAAATTGAGAAAACACATACTTCTTCCAGCATTGGTGTCATAGTTGCTGACTGTAAAAATGATGAATAAAGAAGGAAAATTAATATTGATGACTTGGGACTTCATGCAGAATATTTTACAATCCATTGGTGATAAAATGATGTTACTTACCAAACAACCGATACCAGAAGTTGGCCCTGCACTTGGTAGTAACTGTGGTGTGTGATAAATATCCTTATTTTGTTAGTTTGTTTTGCATTTATCACTGTCATATAAATTACATCTTGTTCATAATTTGCCCATCTGACTATATAACAATGAGGTAGTGCTCAGTTAGCGCAATTCTTCCATATTATCAGGAGATCAAACCAGCCCCAATAAAATAACTCAGCAGTAAAATCATTGTGATACATTATGTCTGTGAATGGAATTGTGAAATGAATTTAATTCTATTATTTCGACGTTTCATTGCTTTCATGGTTCTTGTTTGTTGTGCCTAAAAGCATATATATGGTGTGTATTTTTATCCTATACAACAGTGCTCCGCAACCGGTGTGCCGCGAGACGATGCCAGGTGTGCCGCACAGGAATTGCAACTTTTCTCTTCTTTTTACAAATTTTTTTTTTATCTTTTGGTAATTTTGCGTTAGTCTACCACTCTACTCTACTAACATAAAGTTAACCTGCTTTTACGTTAGCTTGAGCGACACCAATTCAAATTCCTGACACCCCCCTGTGCATTTGTGACGTAACAAGGAGTAGGCCTATATGGCAAGCATGTATATTGTAAAGCCTATTGTCGAGGCTAAAACATAGCACGTGTAGTAATCGAATATAAATAAAATGTGAGTTTGCAGAATCAGTGCCCAGTGGGCTTTAAATAAAACGTTTAGCAAAATGGATAAAATTTTAAAAAGAACAGCTGATACTGAGCAACATATTGTACCTAGCACAAGCAACGTTGAAAAAAAAAATTGTCAAAAGGAAATACAGGAAAAATTAAGTCAAATATGGATTTTCTTGCTATGATAATGGATTTGCTCCAAAACCAGTCTAGGTTCTTTGGGGGGAGCAACTTTCAAATGAAGCAATGTTTCCGAGTAAACTTATGCGCCACTTAAATATGAAACATGCCGTTCATGCACGCGAGAATATAAATTATTTCTAGCGGTTGTTAAGTCAAAGTAAGAAGCAAGAGTGCTCTGTGAAGTCGTCTTTTACAGTCTCCGAAAAAGCATTAGAAACTAGTTATTGTGTTGCAAAACTGATTGCGCGTCACCGCAATGATCCTAATATAGAGCGATTGTGCTCATTGAAACAACCACAAATCTCTTATTGTTATATGAACATAAAACAAAGTTACACCGTGTATTTTTCGTTTGTTGTGGTATGCCCGGTATGTTAGTCGTTGGGTGTGCCGTCAAATTTGGCAAGTTTTATAAGTGTGCCGCAAGTTAAAAAAAAGATTGCGGAGCACTGCTATACAACACAATATCTGGAAAACTGTATAATTTGTAGTAATTTTCTCGGATTTACTTGCTTGTTCCTACATCATATATTTTTTATAATCTGTTATATTCTATTTCTACACTGAATCAATAAACTATATTGTAAAACCTATTAGATACCCGACTGTTTTTGGTTGAACCGGTATGATTAGACTCTGGCTCGATCTAACTTTGTGGGCTTAGCACCATCTACAGACGACAAAACTGTTGGATCTATTTTCTTCCTCCATATAACTTGTTTACCAATGCTGGGGAAGGCTTGTACATGCTTGGCTCAGCGGAAAATCTTTTATTCCCCTCAATGTTGGATAGTTTTGGTTAGTCAACGATATGGAAACAAGCACCAGTAGTTCTGATGAATATGTAACAATTTTTAAACCATGTTTATCACTATAACATCATTGGTCTTGTAATTTCATGTGGTATGTAATCGATCATAATACCTCAATAAACCTGTTGAATCTAATCTTTCAATAGTATATTTGCACCCATCTTACTCAGCTAATAAATCTGTGTTTCTATGACACAACATAAACTTAAGTGTCCTCACCGTGCCTAGCATGTACAAATTGCATCAGAGACTTGGTGACTATCCAGCGACACCACTATTTGAAGATGATGTGGTGGCAGAGATTCCTGAACTTATCTATAGCACTTGGCTTTGAAATCTAGCGTTGAACCAAGACTGACGACTGAACCATCATGGATGTATCTGAAAAAAATATTCATCTGTTCATAATTACAGATTGCTGTAGTTTGTGCAATATTCAAAAGACTTTTTAAACTGCCCCTGCATTCCATTTGTTTCTATACTGAACCCACCAATTCAGTCCTAACTTGGTCGCTATCTATTAGTCTATGAACCATGGGATACGGTACCGGTAGTCACGCAGGTCTCCCAGTCCTCTGACATTTTTCAACCATATATATGAAAAGTTATTCATCCTTCTACAGCTGGTGGAAAGAAAAGTTCTTGGAGAACCAAGTCATAGAAAAAGCATCTCTGAGTGATTCCATTTTTGTCTGTTAAATAAGCTTTTCAACTAAGTTAGGTACGGTAACGGCAATGTGAAGGCGGAATAACGTTAATAATAGTCACTTGACAATATGGTATAATTTAGAAGCACGAAAATACCGCCATCGCCAGTGAATGCCATTCGAAGGCCTTTAAAACGAGCAACGTATGGTACCAGTCTATCGCCCTACACAAGTTTGAATATTTGCAATGATTGTCTGAGCGACCCAAATCAAAACAATAAAGGTCAAAGATTGGGGAAAGGTTCATGCATTTTTGTTTTGCCAAATGTGCTGTTGTAACGTCGGCTGTACAGTCTGACAGTGCATGTTCTCACCGTAATAACATGTTTATTTAGTTGTGTTAAGTCCGGTAGCTGCTGAACGGAGAACATAATGTCATCACGAAATCCAGGAATAGAACTCGGTAAAATTTTAGATAAATTTCAGAATGTGAAGTTTTCCTATCGTTCAGATCGTTTGTGCATTCCAGCGTTCTGACATTGGCAGATTGGTACCAATGTTAATTCGTAATTGCAAAACTATGCGCTCCCATCAATTTCAAAATTGAAGCCTTCTTAATGTATGGTTGGTACCGGTACCGGTATGTCTGTATGTGCAGATAACTGGTTATTCCAATCAAACAACCAGTTACCGGTACTGCTACAGTCCAGTCTGGATTTCATGACCTTTTTGAACGAGAAATCGGGCGTGCAATCAGAAATTCTCGCGTGCAAATAAGAATTCCTGGCGTGCAATTACTGAAATATAGCTCACGGCGTGCAAAACAACTGCGCCCGCGTGCAACTGACTTCGACATTAGATACCTCTCAATGCATCCGTGTAAAATTACCGGTATTGAATAAAAAATGCGTTGAATTCTAGCAAAAATGGACGTTTGACCCCCAAACATTATTTCTAAAGTTTTTCGCTAATTTTGAGAGTGTTTGTGCGACTTTGGATACTGGCACTGTTCAGTACATCCGCGTAAATTATTGGATAAAATATATGTTGAATCAGAGCAAAATGGACATACTTTGTCATACTTTTGGGAGTGTTTTTACGTAGAATTGATGAATAAAAAATACGTCAAATCAGGGCAAAAATGAATGTTTGATCTTTTACCCAAAACATTATTTTTATACTTTGTCACTAATTTTGAGTGTTTTTTGCGACTTCAGATACCGGTACTGTTCAGTACATCCGTGTAAAATTATTGTATAAAAAATATGCTGAATCAGAGCCGTAACTGGGCAGCGTCGGTGAGGGGGCGATCTTTTCGCCCATAACTATTCTCACGGGATTCCTATCAATAAAGACGATATGGTCTTTTTTGCTTCACATTTTTCGATCAAGCCAAATCTTGCAAGCTAGTATTAGTCGACAATTGTGGAGTTGCGACAATTTTTTGTCATCTTTATATTACTGGATTATTGATTCAAAAATCATTTAAACCGATTTACATTGGTGAGCAATTGCAAATTTTGGGCGTGTAAAATTGAATTCGTTCGCGTGCATTTCTGCGGAGCGCTAGCGCCCTCAGGCGTGCACCTGCCATGGACGCCATCTTGTGCCATATTTGGGAAACGCAAAACAATGGAGTCTTATGGAAAATTTTCGTCGTGTTGTTGTACCGAATCGAATAAGTCCGCTGTTATAAGGGCTAGAATGAAACCGAAGGGTGGATTTTGAACTTTAAGATATATGCTATCTAAATATATAACGCAATTAGGAATAAAAAACTATCTAAAGCGTTAAATTTGACCACAAACACAGCGTATAACCATTTTCGGTCATTTTTTTAAAGATTTTATAGTGATACGCCAATTTGAGGCTGTAAAATGTCTCCGCAATAATCCTACAATGTCATTTGTTCTTCTAGAGCAGCTTGAAGCTGAGCAGTAGAGCATTATGGAGCTTGGCAGACGAAAAATGTTAACCAGAAAATAGAAACGGCTATTGAAGCAAAGTTGGGTCGGCCGGTAATTTCGAAGAATAAATACAACTTTTCATCTGTGACGTCATAAGGAACGCCATTGTCAAATGGTTAATTATGACGATTAGAATGACCAATTTACTTCGGAAGCAACTCGGAACCGGTATACTTGTCTTCAAAGACAATTTAATGTACTATAAATCTAAAATATTAGTGAAAATAATAGGTATGTTCCAATAATTGTGTTGGAACTTTTACTAAGGCGCCGTGTTAAATTGCCGAGAACAATAGGCACAAGATGGCGTCAATTGTCCGAGTGTTGCCTCGCTTATATTATATATACGCTTTGGTCTGGCCTACAGTCCTACCTGTCGACTAGATACCGGTAAGATACAGTAGACTACCTGAGTTTACTAAATCAGTACCGTAAATTAAATAGTGCTGCAATCACTCTACCATTGCCGGTATGCATGCAAATATTGTGCTCTTCTTATGATATTGCAGTATTATGGTATGTGGCAAATCGTTCTAACTTTGTCTTATTACAGATTCAGATTGGGTTCAACGAATTATACTATAGCCTAGTAAATCTTCCCGCTGTAAATAGAAGAGCAGAAACTTTGTTCTAAAGAAAAGAACTGAAAAAAGCATGGCAGGTGGGTTTAATTGTAATTTGAACTTTTCAAGCCATACATACGGTCAGCCGGTACCGGTAATTAACTTTTAAAATCAATACCGGTAGGCGGTAGCGTTTACAAAATTTGATATTTTACAATAACGATCTCACGAAACAAAGTCTAAGAGTTTGGACATTTGTTCAAACACAATCATATATCAGTCACAAAATATTATTTTCTAACAGGCGGCTTGGTTATTGAGAGCAACAACATGTATCTGTGTATTGATTCAATGCCTTTATCATGAGATGACACTTTTTCAAACGAACAAAGACTTTGCTATAAAGCTCAACATCCAATCAGAGATGATTTAATTGAAGCTTTTGACATGAAGGATGCTGGTGAGATATTGCTTTGCAATTATTTCTGTTTCTAAATATTTAATCTAAAACAGTGATTCTCAAACTTTTTATGGAACGCCCCGCCCCCTCTTTAGAATTTGTCAAGTCCCTCGCCCATCTCCAAAAAATAGCTAACAATAGGCTACAAATGACAGCATGGCTGAGGTATAATTTTTTTTCAAAAAACTTGTTGAAAATATGTGTACATAATATTTGAAATGTCAATATTCAATATTTTTTCGTTTATTCAGCTTCACACCCCCTTAAAAATTGTCTACCTCTCCCCCTTGTAGAGCATCCCCCATCGTTTCATAACAATTGGTATAGAACAGGGGTGGGCAACATACGGCGAGATTTTGACCGGCCCGCTGACTGTACATCACTACATTATGATATTACATTATTACACTTTTAGTACAATATGATAAATTCATTATGGGTTTTTTGGTCCCTATTTTTTGTAGTTTAAACTTTACTTTGAACTGGATTTATAATGTTCTTTCTTGCATTAGCGAATAAATATGTGATTAAGATGTTGAATACTATTCATGTTATTATTCGGCCCGCCGAGAACTTCATTTTCCCACATCTGGCCCGCCGACTAGAGAAGTTGCCCACCCCTGGTGTAGAACAATCGGTACAATTTCAATTTGCTGTTAAGGAGTAGGCTATAAATTTACTGAAAAATAACTTCAATGTGAAGCATTTTCCATGAAAACTCGTATTGTAAAAAATATCAAATTTATTGCGCTGCAAGTTTTGTTGTTTATTTTCAAATGTATTTAAATATTATATTTTGGTGCGGCCCGTGGTTTCAACCAGTTATTTCTATCTGGCCCTCCTGTATTAAAGGTTGCACACCCCTGACTTAAACGATATGCTCTCATACATCATGAATTAATCAATCTCTATAGTTGGCATACTGTTCTAGCCATTTGAAATTGCTTGCCCTTGAATAATTGATTACCCAGCCTGGGTTTGCAGTTGGTGGGAAATTATAATCAAGGGGATTTCTAGTTATTTCAGGAAATATGGTTCGAAGTTGGAATCTATTTTATCAGTTTTCTTCAGGGTTATCATGAGAATTCCTATTGTGCTTTATTCAATCTTTTCAAGCTGTTAATAGTTTTATACTTATACATCTCCCCAAGCTTTATTATGCAGGGAAGGTGAAATTTGAAGAAAAAAAACTGTTTTAAAAAAAAGAAAGAAAAACAGATATATTTTTTAATTTTAACTATTTGGTGAATATGGCTTCAAACTCTGATTAAAAAAACAGTTCAAAAAGCAGCTTTTTCTTTGTAATTTACCATTAAAACTGTCATCCAAATTTTAATATTTGCTATTTTGTTAATACCCTTTCCATATGCTAACACACAACATGTTATTTAGTTGGCATATCGCTATAGTCATTACTAATGCGTGCTTTCAGTTTACTGAATACCCAGCCTGGATTTGCATTACTTTTTTTACAGTCTGTATGAAATGATTATGACCGAATTAAATGTTATTTTGTTATTTTCTAGTTGCAACTGGCTTTTCTGCAGGACAGACTCCTTTGGAAATCAAATTGATCGAAATTCAAAGGGCAGTCGAGTCAGGAGCTTCTGAAATTGATATTGTGATTTCGAGAACCGAAGCTTTACATGGAGATTGGAAAGGTTAGAAAGATGAAATTATTTTTTCAAATTTGTTTAGTTTCGAATTTGTTTTGGGCTTGGGCTTCGCAGTCCCTTTGTGTGGGATTCGTACTCTAGTCGTTCTTTACATATAAGTGGCGGCTTGTAAGGATGTTAATACGCAAGACATCCTGAGGATGGATGTGGGGAATAAACATAAAGCACTACCTGATCTATATATTAGGCGCACCATACTATACTTTTAAAGCACGAATAATTTTTGAGAGAGGAAAAATATGTAGAGCGCCAAATGGTCCGTGAAAAACAGTACTGCTTTCAAACAAACGTGCAACTGATTTAAGCGCACTTTATCGCTGATATTGCTAATTGCTGTTTTTCCCATGGCCTCCAGGTTGATATCGCTGTCACAATAGCAGCAGTGAGCATAATATGGCTCTTACCCTTCGACTTTGTTTGACATCAGCAAATTCCTTTTTATATTCGAAACGGAACTTGTACCCACTCATTGTCTGAATTCTGGTTTGTCTCTGAAAACAGTATCCCTAAAAACTAAGTTTCAAAGTGTAAATATAAATTATGACTTGTTTACGATTCTGAATATTTTTCAAGGCATTTTCGAAGGCATGTAAGAAAGCATGTGGTGAAGGCATTCATATGAAAACAATACTCGGAACAGGAGATTTAGGAACTATGACAAATGTTTATAAATCAAATCTGGTAGCAATGATGGCTGGTAAGTATTGTAGGATAGGGTTTACATATTTATCCCGGGGGATAGAATTGACGATAAGATGGCTTAACCATATGGCATATTCCTGGCGCTTAGTATATGAGCCACACCGCCGCACCTAAATTCCAACTTCCAAATAAATTAACCCATAATTTTGTAAGCTTTTAAATTTTTATTTGATTCCAGTCAAGAGTCTTGTTGCATACTTTTTCTAGTCATAGTTGTTGGTCTGGAAAAGTCTGATCCCCGTCAACGTTGCAGAAATACATTTGTGTTACTCAGTGTTAGTATGCAGCAAAACTTTTGAATCAAATAGAATAGTTACCTTTATACTTGCTATAGCATCTTTGCATTATATATACACTTACGGTTCCACTGCTGCAATAGCATAGAGCAAAGAGTACTCCCGAAGTATGTGTACCAAGTTAGGGTTAGGCCATACTTTTATCCTGATTTTCCTTGTTCATCAATTCCATTACGAGCTCGGGGACTGTGAGTGTTAGCCAAGTGAATATACCCCGTCCATAGGTTTCAGTCCCGTTACACAAATTGATGTATAATAAGTGAACAAAATTAGTTATCTCCAAATTGGTATACATACTTCAAGAGCGCCGAGCAAGGTAAATTAGTTGGGCTCACGTATCCCCTGATAAAACTTAGTAGAGTCACAATATACAACAAAAATTAAAATAACTGTCAGATGGGTTACGCATATGAATTCACTCGCGCAAAACGGCACGAAAAGGTCTGATGTAACCTATCTGTTAGTTATTTTAATTTTTGTTATACATTGTCACTTTGATTTACGCCCATGTGAACTCATAGTTCAGCTTGAAATATAAAAATAACTTTAATATCCGCCGCTGCGTGAGAATTATTACTTGTGGAAAAAAAGCTTTAAAAAATAGTGCAACAATAATTAGGATGTTGGCCTCTGAAACGGTCACAGTGACAAAAAATAATCCGCGATTGTGACAAAATTAGGAAGTAAACACTCGGCCTTGATACCGAGTTTTCAGTCTTTAGTAAGTGTCTATTAACTTAAAATAAATATTCAAATTATTCTATTAGAAAAAAAAATCTGATTTTGCCAGTCTCTAATCACGTGTAGGTAAATACTCATAGAATGACAATAAAAAGATTAACAATAAATTACCACGAGTAATAGTTTCACACATTTCATGCACATTTAATCAATGTTTTTGCGCATATAAACGATTGTAAAACCATTGATACTCGCGAGTTTTACTTTTCTCTTGAAATTAATTTTCACTATTTTTATCGTTCCATTTCTAACATTTGTTTCTCTCCGGAAATACCTCATTTATGAAGAAAAAAAAACGCTACGTGGTTACAACTGATTGCGAATTAAATAATGGTCGAAGATTAGCAAGTATGTTCTTGAAATAGGCATACCTAATATTCACCAACCGACTACAGAGGGAGGCGAGCTACACGAAACTCTGGAATGTTTTTTAACAGACGTCTTACGGAGTTGTAAATTGTACGATTAAAGCACTTACCGGTATTTAATTCTACCGTAATCCTGGCTGAGCGCCTCAAGTTCCTTAGACTTTCCTTTGGTATGTTGGTTACTCGCTTACACTATAATATTATTATTATACATCTATTTGGGCATCACGGACAATTTCTAATTTGAAATAAATGAAAACCCAACAAGAACATATCATAATTAATACTCAGACGTAAAATATAAACATTCATTAAAAAAGTTATTATTTAAGGAAGACAACATGATCGTACAATTCCGCCAGATGTTGGCCAGTGAGATGATAAATAAATGCTTCCCCTGTATTCGATTAATCAACTTTCTGAATGACTCCAATAAATTCACTAAGGAAGGAACAAATCCCGTCAAACTTGCACTAGAAAATCGTGTAATTTGGTCACAATTCATCGATGTCATTGACAGTCACATGACCACTCTCGTTTGAAGAAACGCACTGCTTTGTATTAGGACATCTGGTTTCAAAGACGCCGCCAACTGTTTTTGCGGGAGAAGCGGAATCGGTGTGCTTGTATAATAATCACATTATTAACAAGAATTTTGCCTTTTAATGCGAAAGCTTTATCTCAAATGTATGCACCACATAGGTTAGAATTTCAGCAAATATCTTATGTAATGCAAAATTGGGTTACAAAAGTACTAGTAGGCAACTTATTTGTCAACTTCATACTGGCACAAAAATAATTGTCAACTTGGAATTTTTGCTCTTAAAATCGGAAAAAAGTGCTATTTCGTACCTGTTGGATTAGTGATGGTTAGAGCTATCAGAGAGAATTATCAGAAAACAGGTTATAAGGTATGTTTGGGAAATTGAAGAGTCAACTTTTGCCATGTGTTATATTCAACTCTCATAATTTTAAAAAAATTTTCATTTTCTTTTCTTTCAAAACCACGGTGAAATGTCTATAGCAGTGGTTCTCAAACTTTTTTGGCCACGTATCATCTCATTTTTAGAATTTGTCAAGTCTTGGGCCACACCTCAAAAATAACTAGCTATAAATAAGCTACATTTGCTTATAGTAAGGTGGAAGTATGTTTTTTAAATCACATGTTGAAAATATGCGGATGGAACGTAAATAATGAAATGAGGAAACGAAGTTTCAAAAACAAGCAAAATTTTTTATTAATTTTATTAGTGCAGTTGCTCTTGACTGGAAAAGTAGAACAAATTGATCAAATTGTCTACGACCCCTTCTGGGGTGCGCCCTACCGTTTGAGAACCACTGATTTATAGTGTTTATTCGTGTTGACATTGTTTTCTCAGGTTGGATTCAAACCAGCAAGAGGAATCCGTAGTGCGAAGGACGGTCGTACTTGGCTTGCCTTGATGAAAGAAGAGTTGGGTGATGTATTGATGAGAAATGACTTGATTCGGATTGGAGCTTCCTCCTTGCTCACTGATATTGAAAGACAGGTAAAACAAATTGAGGAAATGTTGCCAGGTGGTTTCAGCATAATGGCATAATGGAAAGTTTGGGAACCCTAATCTATATGATTCTATGATACCACATAACGACCTTGTTTTACACTAGGCCACATATTCTTATTTCAGATATATCACTATATCACCGGGAGATATGCATCTGCTCATTGGCTACCAATAGCATGAGTTCTGAATGTCAAGTTATAATCACTTCCAATGTACGGACTATTTTAGGAGTACTTTGGTTTTTGAGCATTGATAAGGGCGCTCCGTAGTATGTGACCAAGATGGTGGACACCGACATAGTATGTGTACCAGGTTAGAGTAGGTCAAATTTCTTTCCCATTTTTCCTTATTTTAGTTATATCCTCGAGTTCAGGGACTAGCCAAGTGACTCCCCGTAGTATTTGTACCTGAAATTATGGCTAATCATACCTGTACACATACTACGTTCCGGAAGGAAGTACTATTTAATGAATAACACATAATTTTTGACTGTTGGAGACATTTCAATTTAATCGTGTGTTTTGTTCATTGTGTGCAAATTTTACTCCATACAGAGTTTAAAGATGCAATAAATAATATACACACTTTATCATTTTCTTTGTTATCATAGTCTTGTTTTGTTGGATTTTTTTCAAACATTAGTAGAAAGTATGAGTATGTTGGTGGAATGTCCTAATCATACACTGGACCACAGCCTTTTTGTCTCGTTACTTTGCACGGATATAGATGACCAATTGCAGACATATGAGCATGAGTAGCGGAGAGGGCTTAGTCCAACAGTGGTACCATTGGCATTCAATCCCATTCTCTTCAAATTATTCGCACCCCACGTGGATTTATTAGATGAGATATTATTTTTATTGGATAAGCCGTACCACCGCCTCTGGTCCCGTTACCAGTCCATGTCGGGTATGGAGTTAGTTAGCCAGTTGTTTGTTTCGGATGCATGAACTTGCTGGTGGATGAGGCCGTAACGATCAGTGGTTAGGTGAATCACCTTGCTACAATACTCTCACAAATAATTATACCCCATGTAATTCAAATCTGCAACCCAGGCAGAATAATCCGACGTGAAATGGCGACAGTTTATTATCCATAACCAACATTTTGAGGATGAGGTATATTTTTGTTTCTACTCCGGGAATGTATGAATTGCAGCCAGATTTATACGATTCGGGAATCGAGATGCATTTATTCAAATTCAGGAAGCTTGGTCAAAATTTGTGTGACTGAGAAATATAAATTGCCTCAAGTTCAAGCTATAAATGATGAGTGACTCAAATCAGGCAATAGCGCGGAAGTTGAAACACTATATGTGGGGTTACTTGACCAATCAAGCTTAACAGCAACAGTGCAACCTTAACGTGACAATGATAATATACACAACTTCACAGACAGACTAGTGCAGGGGTGGGCAAAGTTTTTGAACAAAAGGCCAAAATTTTTGCACACCTAGACTTGCGGGCCATGTGAGTGTGACGTAGAAAAATACGTTTCATGAGCAATATTTACAGTCATACATATGCAAATACGGGAAACAATAAGCCCCGTGCAAAACCAAATTTAAATGGCAATCTTGACACAACCGGTGTTAGCAAAACGATGTAATTTGCCGACGTTTCAAATTTCTATACAGAAAAAACATCATCAGGGCATTCCTTGGGCAAATTTTCAGCTAAAACATCAAAATTTGGTTCAGTGGGGTTGTGGCATCTTGAGGCGGGCCAGATTAACCTACCCAACGGGTCGGACCCAATGGTCCGAGGAAATTATAAATTTTTGTTATTTGAAGGTTACATTGCAAGCTCATACGATGCGGTTGCCGATACTTCGGTGGTAAACATGGTATAAATACAATATTCATACTGTTATTGTGACATAACAATTCCTGAAGTAAACAAACCGATGTGGACAGACATCGACCTCTCAAAAGGCTAATTTACCTGGCTACTCTTCGCAACGAGGTATTAAAGCCATCAAATCTTAAACGCCACTTGTAGCAGAAACATTCACAACATGAGAAAAATGACTTATATATATTTCTTTAAAATACGAGAACTATCTCTGAAACGAAAATATGGAATGCAATTGGATATTCTCCACATTGAAACACAAGCTTTCTTCGACGTGACGTCACAAATCGCTAAAAAAATTCGCACATAATATAGGAAAAACATAGTAAAGCCCTGCGCTTTGAGGATGGCAGAGTTGATTTTGGTAGAAATTAAATGCAACAAAAATTTAGCAGGTATCTTTATTGTGTGTGCATTTTTGCATTAGACCTTAGATTAAAATATTATGAAATCAACATAAAATTGTCATTTGTATCGTGGTTTGACAGAAATTATTAAAAAAATAAAGAATTAATTTTCCCGGCGCCATTATAATTTTTCATGCTTATTTTCAGAATTCCTTTGCAAGTTTGCGCTTACAAACTGGTTTACAAGTTTGAAAACAATATTTCGATTCAAAACATGCAACTATGTGTAGTTTAAAAGCAATGGAAGCAACTTTTAACCTAGCAGGTTTTTCTGGACCAATTCCTCATTGCTACAGCTGAACTGAAACACCTCGGAAGTCATAAATATTGTTAAATAATTCGATTTGAATCTTGCCACCCTGCCACGTATTAAAATTAGTAATTGTCCAGTTCGGGTTTAAAATAATTTGAAAATTTGGGCTTCCAGCTCATTCACAACCCTTACTGGATAATTACTATTTTTATTTAGAGCGGCGACGGAGGTGTTCTTGGCGGGGGCTTTCTACTAAGAATCCTTTGATTTATAAATTTGGTAACACAGCAAAAAACTTCACAAACTCACGCAATGAATTGATACATCACCATTACCTTATTGCTTAATGCTCGTTGTTACGTAAATAAACAGGAAACACGATACTCGGAGAAACAACCACGTTTGTGTGTTTAGCAACAGCGGAACTTCATTTTATTAAAACAGACACACACATCGCACTGAAGTTTCCCAAATAAATATTTCAAAAACTCTGTCTTATCAAAAGTGTACAAAAATTTTATCCATTGCCGAAAATGTTTGAGAGTCACGGCTCTCTCTATTCACTCAGACAAATCTCAATGTCTGATTCTAAAGATTCGCTCATTCTGTGAATTCGAGTGCCAACTGTCAGTGTTTATTCAATTCAATTTCCAATTCGTTTATTATACCGGTATGATTGTTTTCACTAAATTTGAATAACTGAATAGCCAGTAAAGTTGTTTTTTTCAAGTTTCAGTTCAATTGTCGCAGTAGGCATGATAACTGATAGTAGTAGCATGATAATTCTGTAGTTAGCTAGCGTCAAATTTTAACGACGGGTGGTTTAAAAGCCAGTTTTAAGCGGGATATAACTAAAGTGTACAAGGCATTGTCTGTGATCAAGGGTTGGGGAACGTACATCTACTTCTATATTATCAGAGGAGAGTTTAAAACTGAAATTTCCCGAAAAAGCCTGCAATTTTTCATTCATTTGTAGTCATACTTGACAAGCAAAGGGACGATATATGTCACGTGCTTATTTTCTTCTCATTCATATTTAAGTATTTTCTTGTTTGTTTCGTGGAATATATATCAGCAAGAAGGTTTGCTCCTCATTTCTCGTGTGACAGCACCGCGATGTCTAGAGAAGGTGCAATGATAAGCGTTTATCTAACCCCCAGCACACTTTGTCAACCCCGGCATAAGTATAGCCTACACTTCTGTATTAGTTAGAAAAAAACATAGAAACTTCTGAGCCATTCTTTTTTGTTTATTCCTAAACCTGAGTTGACTAAACTCAACAATATAGGACAACAACGCTACATTTTAAATCGTTTCCTGAATAACAATTGCACCAAAGTTCGAAGCCATTCATCAAAGTTTGTCCAGCCGGTACAAGTCCAACAGTAAATGTCGGTTTCATTGTAAGTTTCTGTTAAAGCACTGTCTACCTTGCCCAACATATTATATGGAAGAAGTTATTGGAAGTCGTAGTTACGTATCTTCGAGGCTTCCAGATTAAAGTGTTATAGTTATATTCACCGAAAATGACTTTTGCTGGAGTATCGCTTTCCAAGATTGAAATTTTGTTATGATGTGACTTTTCCAAAAACGGACTGTGGTAAAAACGTAGCTTATCGAATAGATACTTTTGCGACACCTATTAAACCTTTCGTGCAAAGCCCCCGCCACTAATGCAAACATGTGAGATTTGAGAAAAAACACCCGCGCCACTTTTTGAAATGAAAAATTAGAAATTATCCAGTTCGGGTAAAGAATGAATAGAAAATCTGAATATCCAAGTATTTCGTTGTTTTGTTGTTTTATAGCTTAGACCAGCGTTTCCCAACCTTTTTTGGTCGCGGACTATTTTCTCACCGGCGAAAGCCTTTGCGGATTCAACTTGCGTTTATTGCAAATGTACTCTGCGTGAAGAAGTAATAAAACCAAACAGAACAGAATTTTAACGAATTTCAAAATCATAAATTCGCCGCAATTGCGCGTTTGTTGATAAAGCCAACTTTTTCAGTGTATGAATGATGGCCTTTTCTGTCGCATAATATTCAATCCATGACAACGACGAGAATATAAACTGTCTTTCTATTTTAATTTAGTTGTGTTCATGGTCACTCGCGGTTACGTCGACTTATGACAAGATGAAAGCACTACTTCTCTAATGTCACGGCAATCTGTGAACATAATAATGTGAGAATATTTTGCCCGATTATATTTAGTTTTGATACATTTTTTTTGCGATCTTGCGAATTTGTTATCGCTGTTAAAAAAATGCTACTATCTGCTATAAATTTCCAGAAAGTACAACTTGATTTAGTAGTTATTAAAAATATAATTAAAGTATATTAATATATAAAAAATCGCCTTTCTTTAATATTAATTTAATTGTGATAATTTTAATCTGCGGCTGTGTTGACGAAATAGAAGCAATACTACTCAGAAAATATCATGACAATCCGTGGACACAAAAATGCGTGGTAAAGTGCCCGATTATATGTGTTTTGATTCGTATTTTTGTGAATTCGACAAATCTAAGCTGTTTGTATAACACTTACGGCGCTCCAGTATTCTGCGTACCAATGTGGAGGCAGTAAAGCAAAGAATTCAAAGGAAAATGTCCTGATACGGATACTACAGTAGCACCCGAAATATTGCGATTTGCAATGTCTAAAAAAGCGTTTTTAATCGGTCGAGGACCATCATA